ACGTCCATTACTCATGACCATTTAGAAAACTTTTAGAGCACAAGGAACGGTATCGGTCATATTTTAGCTAGCAAATAGGCTTTGCAAGATCCTTCTTGAATTGTAGCCATTTCTCTACCTTCGAAACGCCAAGACGATTCGCAAGAAATTTTTTGATTCTTAATATACACTATCTTAGAACTTCTCTTCCCGTGGTGAAGCTGGATGACCTCTGTTTCAGGATTCAAATCCGTCAAGCTCCGAGTTAGACAAATTATCACGAATCATCAGGAAAATCATGAATCCAATAAAATCCACCTTACTTCTTCTGTGCAGATTTCCTCTCAGCGGTTCATGTAGCAAACTCCTGCTTCACGACTATGAGTATCCTTTCTCTCAAAACCCAGCTCCCAGCTTATCAAACCGCTTGCTGCAACAAATGCATCTCTGAACATTAGCCACACCAAAGCGGTAGTAAAATCGATATTTAATAGTCCTCACAGACTATAGATTGTATTCAGTAACGAAGAAACAGAACTAATGTTATATATTTATTCAAGATCATACTTTACAGAAAAGTCTGGAATGTTTGGCAGTTTCATGTTACAAAATTCACTCTCAACTGATAACGACTTTGGCAAGAACTTCATCTGCAACTAACAGGTCATCGCCATCGGTGATCAGGTCTGAAATAGATAATTGATTAATGAGGGCTCTTAATGCAGTTCAAACAAATTGCTTCATCTGCTTTGTTGCGCTGTTCTGCTTGAAGTACTATAACGCATTTTCTTGAGTAAAGGTTATTTCGAGCAGCAAAAGCGTATATCTGCAACCGCGCAGGGCATCTAGCTTCCGCAGGCCGAAAAAGATCGAAAGTGCGCGACAAGGCCCTGAAAGCCTGTTGCGTGTGTAAGATTCCATCCACTGATGTGGGCCTCCCGGCTGCTTCACTGTAGCTCTTCTTTGATGCCGTCATTGATTTTGAGGTTACGTTCCCTCTTGCCAGTCCGTTGACAACTCTCCGGCCCGTGCGTGTCTCAACCTCTCTCAACCTCGCCTAATGTACATAAGTACAAACCATATGCGTGAAAAACACCATATGCGACCTTTCTGACTGTTTCTTCGGCCGTCTTTCTCTCGAGTTTAACGATCAGGCATAAAAGGATAAAGTTTCAGCCGTTTCCAAAGTACGATCGCATTCTTCTCCCACTCAGAGTCTCGGAGAGGCCTCATGCATTCAAGGTCATTATACCACCAGAAGGGTTTGTTACCAATTTATCGGCCTCGGTGTCGGAAAGATGGACAGTTTAGTTGCCCAAGATCGATCCAAGTCCTGAGTCCCGGACGTCTTTGCTCTAGCACTTAAATGCATCTCCGCCCCAAATCGAGGTCGCCTAATTTTGATCAGGAAATCAGAATTTCATATTTTCGACGTTCGCGCGGCTGCAATTGGTCCTAGGCCCCCGCGGCGTCGCGCGCGACAATTTATACCGCCTGGTTACAATCGGCCCGCGCTCGCCATGATTTTGTTATCATGACAGTGACATTTTTCTGCTATTTTATCAACAGGACAATCCAGGTCCTACCTGAATGAAAAGCGTGACTGAAAACTGAAGTGAACACAAACTCATTCAATAATGCAATAACTTTATCGTAAACGCTCCATTGCAAAGATGCGTTGCTTGTCGATTGCCGCCCACGCGTCGCATGGTTCTGAAGGCCATCGCCCCTGCTAAGCCGGATCGTGTCATTTTACTTCATATGTATCACAAAAGCAGCTGCTACACCATCCCTTCACTTGCAAAAAAATACCAATAACAACTTCGAAGTACATTCCAGACCACCTATGAGAGTTGAGAATCTGCGTTGGAAACGGCAGTGGGGTCGCAATGGATACCTGAGCAAGCCTCGCGTCAGAATGTTGTAAGGTAGTGATGTCAAGAATAAACTGTACACTCGCATCCGTGGATGCTGGTCCATGTCATGTGCGAGGTGAATGGGTCCGCAGCACAAGCAAGCCACTTACTGCCCTCAAAAGTGCATGGGAACGGGGTCGGAGGATGCCGTTGCCCGGATGCCATTTGGGACATAGCCCGCACTGCTGCACTGCCTGCCACATGCTTGACCACAGCCAAGCGCGCCACTTGTCTATAGCGCTCAGTTCTGCTTCATCGCTACCGCTGGATGCTGGCTGGAGGATCCTTGGTATTGAAGCAAGTGCTGCGCCTTGAAAATCGCGCGAAGACCACTAAACGACACCCGGGTATCATTACTCTTCAGCATCATTTCCACGCACTCTTTCAAGTGCCGGAACCCAGCTGCCTACGAACTTTTCGACAGCTCTTGCCCTTCTAACTATCAATTTGGTTTCTCCTCCCATCCACCTCTTTTGTTCTAGAGAATATTCCACCAATTTCACCCACTTGTTCAAAAAAATATAAGTTGTTCATGTATAAAATACCTCTTAGTGGCCGCAGTAGATTCGAAATACTTTTATCTTTGAGCTCAGGTAGCAGGTCATTGATCATGTACAGTTTTTCGTTCACAGTCTCAATCGAGGGATTCTTCAGATGACTGAAAAGAACTCCAACAACTCCACATATAAAGGGATAGGATTTGAGTATTACCATGGTCTTTCACGCCATTACTCCGATAAATCTAATAAGACAAATGCACTAAGAAGATGTATAGAAAAAACGCACAATTTCTCCACGAGCTTGTCAATGAGAATTTGGAGTGTGTCATCATTATTGCATTGTAGCTGAACATAGCCTCCACTGCACGTTGGACAGTCTGGCTAGAATACCCCTTGATTATCATTAATTATAAATCATTAATCACTACTGTTCAATAAAGTAAGAATTTATA